TCTCTCTCTCTCTCTCTCTCTCTCTCTCTCTCTCTCTCTCTCTCTCTCTCTTGTATCTATAAGCAGTGTAAAGAAGGAAAGTAGATTTCGACTCCGAATAGAGAAACAGGCGCCGTAAACGGTTGCAATAAAATTATTGTAGGCCTATAGCTCTCCCAACTCAAACACATAATTCTCTCCTCCCCCGATAATGTTCTACAGTTGACCATTTGGTGCAGAAGTTCAATTTGATCCAGTATTACGTATTAAGGTTTTTTGGTTGTTGTTTTTTTTCTGAAGTTTTGGTAAGATTGAAGAATACCGGACCAGCGGACTGACTTTGCCTTTGTCTCAACCTTAGGAATTCATAATTTTCCCTTTTTTAATATCTCTCAATTGAGAATCTCGGACCGGTAGTTCTATTCATTAAAATTTTGTCAGGGGGGAGACCCCCCCTGAACCCCCCTCCCCCCTCCTCCACCCTATCCACCCGCCCCACCTACCCCACATTCTCGCCCAATAATGTACGAGTGGTCCGGTATTCTTCAATCTTTCCAAAGTTTTCTTAAGAGTAAGAAAAAACCAACTACTTAACTAATGAGTTTTCTATAAACTGAGTAAATTTGAGCAACATGGACACACGTAACACACGATCAAGTTCTTGAGTCTCGAGGTTTTACAGAGGTTTTGGCTTTTTTCTCATTGGAGGAAGCCCCTCCCCTTTCTCATTCCCATTTCCCTAAACACTCACGGTGAGCAGGGTGTTATCTTCAGTACATTTATATATGTTATTATTCAAACTTTGTTACCCTAATTAGACTTTATTATAGATTTTCCCCCTTCTAAAGTACACATTTTAATAAAAAGAAGCCCTTGATCATAAGCAATTAACTAATTTGATCAATTGAAAAACGAAAGAGCAACGGCAGAAACTAAACGGAAGTGGCAAGTTGATATAGGAACAAACGTACTTTCCGTACACAAATGAACAAAATGGCAGCCCACATGAAAATTTTGACGAGGTCAACCCTACTTCGGGTATGATTCCTAATTTTAGGCAATATTTTACCGTTTATCACACGATACCATTGCATCGTTGTTTCAGCTGTAGATCCAAATGATTGGCCTAGATCTATATATGGAGAATGACATTGACTTCTGAATAAGAAAAGCTTTAATTCGGACATAGACTAACCTACCTGCTACCACCCGCATCGCCTTTTCTACTCTACGTGTTTACTTTGGGCCACCTCTATTCTCACCCCGGTTGAGAATAGCGCAGGCGAGTCTTTTGGCTATTCTCACCCGGTGTGCGTTCACCGTTATAGCCTAGATCTAGGCCAACCAATTTTGCGTTCACCCTAAACCACAGAATTCTACACTACTGTGATAACAGAAAAATTGTAGAATTCTGTGCCGTGAACAAACGTTTCATTACTAGATCTACTGTTAGCCTACTAAAAGGGTACAATTTTGTCTGTGGGCAGTGGAGAGAGAGAAAGAGAGAGAGAGAGGAGTAGCGCGAGAACTTCTGGGCAAAACAAAATGGCGACCCGCGTAGTTCGGCTCGATTCGAAAAGTTCGTAGCATCTTTGTAGACGACCAAATTAATTTACTTTTGTGTTTTAACATTATTTTTAAACTTTGTTTTGGTCAATTTGATCGTCCACACCGATAGTCAGAAAGAGACAGAGAGAAAGAGGGGAGGAGTAGATCTTGCGAGAACTTCTGGGCAAAACAAAATGGCGACCCCCGTAGTTCGGCTCGATTCGAAAAGTGAAATAGCCATAGCATCTTTCTAGTCGATAAAATTAGCTTACTTTTGTGCTATAACGTAATCTTTTCTTTGCCTTTATAATCCATTTGATCATCCATATCGATAGAAAGTATTCCGTTAAAAGCGACAATATTTGAACACCCACTCTCTTATCAGGACTTCACCAGACTGACTCTTTTCCTCGTGTGCAGCTAGTCAATATATCAAGAAGAAGAAAAGATCCATATATATTAACCTACAACAGTCATGAGGAATGTGAAAGCTCACCACAGTTCGTCGTGGCCTTTTTAGATTACATGCCTCAACTGTCAATAACAAAATGTGTTGGGCGGTGAAATTGGATTAAATTACAAGTAACAATGTGCACATTCTAAACATGAACAAAATTATTACAAATTAATGTAAAACTGGTAAAAAAAAAAAAGCTTTTGTGGAGACGTTGAAAAATTGCAATCATATTTTCATTTCTACGTCTTCCTTGTCAGGCGATAACAAAGCCTGCGGTGGTGAGCCCTCTTGCTGTGGGTAGTCAACAACACGATGTTCAACAGACCAGAAACTATCCAACGTCCAAGCATTACGATCTGAAATGGAGGCAGAAGAGGAGGGAGAAAGTTTTGGAGGTTTGATCGCAAGTGTTAAAGTTGAAATTATTTTCATGGGAAAGTTGTCTGTTTCTGTAACTGAATTATATAACGTACCATAAGTCTTGTTTATTCATATTTGTGAGGCAGCGTGGTGGAATCAGGCTCTCGTCAATTTTTGGGCTTGTAGAGTTATTGGTATCATCTTAAAGCTTGTTTAATAAAATTGTCTTTATTTGTATGAAAATACCCATTTATCTTGTACAAGTTGATATATTTGTGAATGAAGGAAATGGGGGTCATCTATTTTGAGAGGCAAAATTGGTGAGAAAATGGCCGCCAAAGATTAGTTATTCCTTTAGCTTAAAAGTCCTTGGTAACTTAAAATTTACATTTTTTGTGCCTTTAATCAACGTCTTTCAGAAAAATCCACACAGAAATGAGTTCTTTATTAATTTTATTATTATGCATGACAGGTGTTGAGCCAAAAACAAACATTTGATAAAAATTCACAAACCCATAGAAAAACGCAAGTTTCTTCATTTTGATTATTTTGACAAGAGCCTGATTCCACCACGCTGCCTCATATATATATTCAGAGAGATATGACATGCCATGGCCAAGTTTTTTTGTCTTTGTATAATATTGTAGTCATACCTGTTTTTTAGTTAGCATAAAAGGAGCAGAAATATAACGAGTGGTGTGGCACAACAATATTTTTTATAACGATAAGACATGATGAATGGATGCGAGCCTTGTACGAGCATTGATAAACATGTCTTTGAATCAAACAAATTGTAATAGCCTCACACTATGAGTGCTTGTAACTTCAAACCAAGTCAAAAGAAACAAGAAAGACACGAACAGTAAAAGTGGGACTACAGTGGGGAATCAGCTTTTACAAAGAGGCTTGCTTACTTAAACAAATCATCTTTGATATGTACCTATTAAAAAATGCCTCATCTGATTATTTATGAAAAGTTTCTGGTGCAATCTAAATGGAAAAAGGGCATGCTGAATATGTTTTTAAAATTTTGATTGTGACATCATAGTAGTAAAAACTCCTTGACCTTCATTCAATGGCCCTGCAGTAAAATACAATGTAAGGAAGCAATATCATCTTTATTCTATTACCTAGAGATACTTAACTAAGCTATAAAACTATAAAGATAGACAACGGGCTGAAGTCTCTCTATTTTTCAAGAGTGCTTGTTGCACAAATATATATATTATACTAGCTGGGTTTCCCGTTCGATGAACGGACTCAAAAGAATCGGTCGTCAAGTCATTGTGGGATCAGTGCACGCACTCTTTGTGAACGGAAGCCTCACTTGTTTACAATGTCGTCTTAGAAGACGGACTTTCCCAAGATTAAATCTAAACGAAACTAATGAAAAACTGAGAATTAAACTACAGTGACTTCATACTCCTCAGTAAAACTGTGCACCCTTTAAATGATTCTGAACCACTGTTAATTTTTTCAAATTCGAAAGTTAAGTGGTTCCGAAGTTTTAGGCGGCCAAAGTGACGAACTTTCACAAATATAATATGTATAGATATGTATATCTACTGTTTAGTGTAGTGTAAGGCTGAGGCATATATGTGAGGCAGCGTGGTGGAATCAGGCTCTCGTCAAAATTATCAAAGTGAAGAAACTTGCATTTTTCCGCAGGTTTGTGATTTTTTATCAAATTTTGGTTTTTTGGCTCAACACCTTTCATGCCCATTAAAGTACTCATTTCAGTGAGGATTTTTCTGAAAAACGTTGATTAAAGGAACAAAAAATGTAAATTTTCAGTTACCACGGACTATTAAGCTAAGGAAATAACCAATCTTTAGAGGCCATTTTCTCACTAATTTTACTTCTGAAAACAGGTGACCCCATCTCCTTCATCCAAACATCTCGACTTGTACTCAAGATAAATGGATATTTTTTTCATTGAAATAAAGACAGGTGAACAAGCTTTAAGATGACACCAATAACTCTACATGCCCAAAAATTGATGAGAGCCTGATTCCACCACGCTGCCTCACATAATATATATACAGTTGTGAAAAGTAATGTATGACAGAGTCTTACACAGAGCATTCGTTGTACATATATATATATATATATATGTGAGGCAGTGTGGTGGAATCAGGCTCTCGTCAATTTTTGGGCATGGAGAGTTATTGGTATCATCTTAAAGCTTGTTCACTTGTCTTTATTTGGATGGAAAAAAATATTCATTTATCTCGAATACAAGTCAAGATATTTGCGAATGAAGGAGGTGGGGTTACCTGTTTTCAGAGGTAAAATTAGTAAGAAAATGGCCGTCAAAATTAGTTATTTCCTCAGCTTAAGAGTTGGTGGTAACAGAAAATTTACATTTTTTGTGCCTTTTATCAACATTTTTCAGAAAAATCCACACAGAACTTAGTTCTTTAATGGGCATGAAAGGTGTTGAGCTAAACAACAAAAATTTGATAAAAATTCACAAACCTGTGGAAAAATGCACTTTGATAATTTTGACGAGAGCCTGATTCCACCACGCTGCCTCACATATTTAAGACGAAGGGATTGAACTGACTGTCCTCAATCATTCTGCAGATTGATCTCCCGAAATTTGTAGAGCTGAAGAAAGACAAAAAGAAAGAGAACAGGACCCCAGATGAAATTCGGATGGAGATGAAAAAGGAGGGACGTCTGCCGCCTCGATTTCAGCAAGATTTGCCCATCAATACATCATGCACTCGTAAGTATTCTAGGTATATTTTTGTCCCCGTCATTTTATGCAAGAAAAATTATGAAATTATGAAAAATGAACCCAAAAATGTGAAATTATGCGACTCTGTTAATTTTAACCAAGAATGATAAAGGAAAATAATTAGAAATTATGCAAAACATGATCAAATTTTGCTAAATTGTGCGGGGTGCATAAAACCACGGGGACAGATATTTGTGGCATTTAGAAAGTGGAAGGAGGTGTAAATGTTACAGTGTCATGCCTAGTAAACCTATGGGAAAATAATATTTTCTGATTATTATTGATATTTATTTTTTATTGCCGTAGTTTTTATTATTATTAGAATATGATTATTATTATTACCGTTTCATTGTTATTGTTATATATTGTTGTTATTATTATTATTGTTGTTGTTATTATTATTATTATTATTTTTATTATTAGGCCCTATTACTATTATTATTATTATTATTATTAGGCCCTACTATTATCATCATTATATTATTATTATTCCTATTGTTATTGTTGTTATTTTACCTGTCATCACCTCCACTATTTCAGTTGTTATTGTCATTATAATTATCGTTATCACTTTCATTATTCCTAGTGTTATTGTCATTACAAATTACGATTATCATTATCACTACTTTCATTATGACTATGTTCTTATCAGCCCAGGCATCACACAGTTACTTTTTCCGGTTGTTGTGTTTTGTAATTTTGTTTTGACCAGTTTAGAATTGTTTCTGTATTTGGTTTTTCTCCTTTTTTATGGCGTTAACCGTCCTATTTTGTGGCTCTCTTCTGAACAAAGGCTCCGTCATCGAACCGTACAAGCCAAAAGATGGGGATGGACGACAGACAGAAATTCTAACCTCAGTGAGTAGCGTAAACTGTTTTTCCATTGCTTGACACAAATACATATGTGAGGCAGCGTGGTGGAATCAGGCTCTCGTCAATTTTGGGGCATATTGAGTTATTGGTATTATCTTACTGCTTGTTCATTTGTCTTTCTTTCAATGAAAAAATTACCCATCCATCTTCAATAGAAGTGGAGATGTTTTGGATTGAAGGAGGTGGGGGTCACCTGATTCAAGAGGTAAAATTAGCGAGAGAATGGCCGCCAAAGCTTGGTAGATTCCAAAGCTGGAGAGTCCATGGAAACTGTACATTTATATTTTTGTGCCTTTAATCAACGTTTTCGGTGAAATCCTCAAAGGAATGTGTTTGTAAATGGACATTAAAACTGATGAGCCAAAAAACAAAAATTTGATCAAAATTGCCAAACAGGGAGAAAACTGCTGTTTTATTTGATTTCATTATTTTTGACGAGAGCCCGATTCCACCACGCTGCCTCACATATGTGTCACGACGCGGTTGAATCAGGCACTTGACAATTTTTGGGTATATGGAGTTATTGGTAGCGTTATTAAGGTTGTTCATTTGTCTTGCTTGGGATAAAAAAATTACCCATCTATCTTGAATAGAAGTCGAGATATTTACAATTGAAGGAGGTGGGGGCTCACCTGGTTTCTGAGGTAAAATTAGCGAGAAAATGGCAGCCAAAGTCGGGTGTCTTACATATCTTGAGAGACCTTAGAAACAAATAATTTACATTTTTTTGTGCTTTTTATCAACCTTTTTCATTGAAATCTTCACAGAAATTTTTTTTCCATAGATATGAAAGTTGTTGAACCAAAAGACAAAAATTTGAAAAAAAAAATAGCCAAACACGCCAAAATGCCTATTTCTCTGCTTTCATTATTTTGACGAGCGCTTGATTTCACAACGCTGCCTCACATATGTCTCTGTGAAATATTGGATTTTTCTGTAAATGGGTTTTCATGATAAACCTTTTGCGTCATTGCTTTTTGTTTAAAAAAAGGGAACATTTCTTGGAAATATCAATAAATTCATGAAGCAATTTTCAAACATTTTGTTTTTTGGATCTCATGAAACTCTAATTGAAAGTACAATAAACTTCCCTGATTCTTATCTTGTATCCCCCTATCTGATCTATCTTGTTCTGTTTTATCCTATCTGTCTTTTCTTTTTTCTTTTTTTTTTCATTTGTCTTTGCTTTGTCTATATTTTATCTTTGATCTTTTTGCTTTCTCATCTTTTCCATATTGTCCTAATTTATTTTTTCATTGTGTATATATATATATA